ATTCCCTTCAAGCCCTGGTCCCAACCTTTGAGAGCCTCCAGGATGCCCAGGGTAAACCAAATAGGCTGACCATTGTTATGTTTGTGACTACAGTAGAAAGAAAACACATTAGAACTCCTTAGTAACTTTATCATTACTTTTTTATTGCTGTGGTGTAACATTGCCACCCATGACTGATTAATTTTATTAGTTTGGAAATTAATGAAAATAGCACACATGCACATGTCAAACTCTATAGTAATTCACTTCACTTCCCACCTTTCTTGATGCAAATTTCACATAGCTGAAGTTGCTAGAGCTGGCAGAGGGAATAATAATAAAAACTCTCAGCATTTACTGTATACAGGTATTATCCTAAATGCTTTGCTTCTTTTAAGTCTAACAATGATAATATGAGATAAGTACCATTATTACCCCATTGTACAGAGGAGTGTGCCAGTATCTGACCCAACTCCAAAGTTCAAAGTCTTAATCACAAAATGATGCTGTCCCAGGAAGACCACTAGGATGCAGAAAAGGGATAAAATAATGGAAAATGGATGAGTTTGGGAAGGAGAATGAGAAGCTAAGAATTTACTGCCAATGCTCACGGGTCCATGCCCACATGCACAGTGGAGTCAGGAGCGCAGTGTCTTATATCCTGCCTATAACCTTTCCTGATGTCTAGCCTGCTGATGGCTCTGATAGGTGCAAGAGGCTGCTCTTCAACCCTGAATTCCCACTCAGACCCTGGCCTAGTTCTCTCCCCAGGCGTTTATTGTGGGGCTATGCAAGGAAGTCTGGAGAAGTGGCCCCTCAAGGACTGGGGAAGAAGGAAATGGTCAAGATATCCTGGCTTATGAGTTGGAGAGAGGCCAGCCTAAGAAAACCAACCTGCTGAGCTACTGGAGGGGCTTGTGGGCTGAGTAGTGTCTGAGCCCCAGTTAGCTCCCTCTTAGTGCAATAAGGAAAGTGTCCCATTCAAGGATATCTTGTAGTTGAGAAACGGAAGTCACTCTACTAGGCTTCACAGGTACCATGGTTACTAAATCTAGGTAAAGGCCATCACTTCTTTTCCTTAATTTCCCCCACGATCAAAGTAGCAAAATGGCAACCATAGAAAATAGGGGAAGGCTAGAAAAGAATAAAGAAAGAAGAATCTACCACCCAGCACTGCCTACAGTTTTGGCACGTTTCTTGTCATGGTAAAGGACTTAGGGTATTTACCACATAGGCTACGGGTCTCGAAGTAATGAACATGCTTTATAAACTGATCATTTGATGGTACTTCTTTATAATACTGAGAGTTAGCAGGTCTGGGCCATTTACATGGAGGCTGCATGACAATATTCCCCTCTTCAGGTACTAGAACTTTAGTAGCAAAGTGCTAAATAATGTCAAGCGGTTACCACCAGGGTCCACACAGGCTTTTGGTTCTGAGACCTGAAAGAAAGCAGGCTGGGTCTAAAAAAGATCAGACTAAAAATAAAAAATGTAATTGGAAGTTTCAAATGCAAATCATAATATTGTTTACTGTCCACTGTGGCACCGGCCTTGTTGATAAAAAAAGATAGGGCTGTTGAGAATTCTATGGCATGCCCTCATCTTGGAACTTTTTGCAAAGGCTAACGGAGTTCAGAGAAGAGTGCCACTGACTTCAGAACCTCATGACAGACCAGATCGGAATGCCCAGTGAAGGTAGTTTATCAGAAAACGAGGTCTAGGAAGGGCCACGAAGCTTCACTGCTTTAGTTCACGACATTCCCCCTACCTGGGATGTCCTCCCGTCCTCATTCTCCACCAAGAAACCTCCACCCATCTTTCAAGGCCCATCTCAATTATGATCTCTGGGAAGTCGTTCTCTTTCCCCATCTCTCAGGGCGTGATTATGTCCAGAGTCCATTATGCTTTGTGAGCACTTTGAACATTCTGTACTTTACATCATGAGTTGCCTTCCTCCCTGCTGTAGACAGTGTTCTTCTAGAGGAGAAGAACCCACTCTTAGTCATCTTTGCATCCCCAGGGCCTGACTCATTAAGGATTTGATTGATGAATAGATGAATGAATGGATGAGGATGGAGAGAAGCCAGATTTTAAAATCTCCCTAGTGACAAACAAAGGGCCTAACATAAAGAAATGTTCAGTAAATACTTTTGGAATGGAATTGGAGAATCAATGCCTAACTGGAAATCATTACACTTGTAAAAGTTTTCCATGTTGCAATTTCTTTCTTTATAAAACAGAAATAGTGATAGTGTAACCACCTGAAAATCCTTCACTGTAGGTATTGAATTAATCTTCCATAACCACACCCACACCCATCAATGAAGTCTTTGAATTTCTAGAAAGAAACAAATAATGAAACAAATCGTGGTCCTGTGCCTTGACCAAAGTGGCACCTATCAGAAAGTTAGGTCAATGGACTAGCATTAACATAACCTACAACAAGCAAATAAATGATTGTATATTCTGCTCATGAAGTTGCTATGAAAAGTTTAAGTAAATTTCACCTACACCAAAATAAAAATGGAATTGAGTTAGTTTCCCTCAGGAACAAAGTTTGAGAAATGAGAATTCCTTTAAGGCTTTTCTACTTATTACCTAATTATACACCTAGATATTTCTACAGCATTTCAGAAATTCTAGTTCTAATTTTTATAATTAAAAAAATTACTGCTTTATCCTGACCACATGTTTCCGATAAGACCTTCAAAGTCCTTGTTATATAAGATTGGCTTTAAACAATTTCCTTTCCCCAAACTAAGAAATTAGATATTTCAGTTTTTTTCAAGAGGGATAAAGCTGGTACACGCCACTGTTCCTGCCCAAGAGCTGGCATATGTGGGTGGGTTCTTCACTATTTTACCTGCAGGGTATAATTACTCACGTGGAGTGAAATAAGGAGCCGTCCTTTTCTAAGTAGCCTTCATAGTGGACCAACATCAAATCCCCTCCTTTGGTCTTGCGATGGCAGATAAACGGCTTCTGGAGCACTTCAATCTTCACTTCTGGTTCAGGGATCAGAGCCCCACTCAAAGAAGTGACTAAAAGCGTCAGGACCGCGTTCCACAAGAAAAGCCTCATGTTACCAGGGCGGGAAAAAAGTTGCTACAAAAACACAAAAAGGGCCCCCCGACCTCATAGAGTTAAGGATGTAGTTGAAGACTTAAAGACAACAGCCTCTGGCAAGTTCATGACTCCCCCTTCCTAGCAGACGTGGCACATTCACCACCGACAACTTTCCCACGCACTGCGAACTCATCGCTAAAGAGTTAAACCCAAACCCGGCCCTTGACTGGCTCTTACAACACTGCCCCCTGGAAAGCGCGAGCTCCCGTTGGCTTGCGGTGCTGTCCCTCAGGAGCCTCTCAAGCCAATGACTCTACAACAATGTAATTTAGCACCCGCCGAGCAGGGCGGTAGCGCAGAGGCGAACCACCCGGTGAGGTCCTGGAACCCGGAGGATTACAGAATTCCACAACCTCGGACTTTGAGAGAGGGGTGGAACGCGGAGCTAACCGGAAACTTCGACAGATTCACAGCTGTAAAGAACCCGGCCAGGGTGTGAAGTCCAAGGTCTCAGGAAAGACTCGTTTACCCTCACAGTTGGTGAGAGGCCCCCCAATAGTAATTGCTTATTATTTAACTTAGGATATGAACGATAAAGACTTTAACAGTGGTTTAGGTTTCACAAAGTGCTTTCCCGTTCTTCGTGAGCCTCTCTACACTGCCGGTAAGGCAGATTCTTATATCCCATTAAAAGATAAGTATATTTTGGCTAGGAGAGGTTAAGCGTCCTGCTTAAGGTTGTTCAGCCCCAAAAGCAACTGAGCCCCGCCATCAAACCATCATCTGATTCATTCTACAACGCCGCACAACATTATGGCTGCTAATAATTTTAGAGGACCTTAGTGTAGAGGGTCAATAATAGCCTCTATCAAGGATAAGGACGTGCAGACCTCCGCTTTCAAGAAGTAATAATCACAGTTACGAGTTACACAGGCTCATCTTTCTTTAAAATTTTTAATTTTACATTTTTCGCATAATTTCAAAAGCAATACATGTTCATTGTCGATTTGGAAGAAACTGGAAAGCACTAGAGTTTCCAGTTAAAATAAAGGAGCCGAATTAAATTTGAATTAAAGGTAAACAACGAATTCATTGTTCTGTGTTTTTATTTGCTAAATCTGGTAACCTTACACTAAAGAAAAAGAAAGAAAGGAAAAAGATCTCTTGTAACGCCACCATCCAGAAATAATCATCTTAACATTTTGGTGCATGGTTTTGTGACATATGCCTAAAACAATTAGGATTCTATTGTATACTGTGTTTCGTAACCTGCTTTTACCACTGAAATCTATAGTTAACATTTTCCCTAGTCAAATATCCTTAGCACAGTCCTTTCTCACACTTTCATATGCATAGGAATCCCCCGAGAGATCTTGTTAAAATGCAAAGTTCGATTCGGGAGGTCCTGGGCTTGTGGCGAGATCCTACAATTCCAAGAAGCTCCTAGGTGATGTCAGTGCTGCCGTGCGCGGACCACACTTCCTGTAGCGAGGTTTTACAGTTTAGACAACATCTGTTTACGCTCGCTGGCCACCCACAGTATATTATCGTGAAATTCCCATCATCTCCGTACGCCTTATTGTTGGGTACCTCAATAGTCTTTAAGTGCGTAGGATTAATTAGCCTTGGAATAAGAATTGAATTCTGAAGACTAGAATCCAGGGGGCACCCTAAGGGGCCACGGTGGCTCCCAAACATCTGGTGATGGAACCCATCTACGGCACCATTGAGTCAGGACCGTGTTGCACCGTTGTCCCAGAGGCCTTCCTCCTCCCTTCTCACCCTGCCTTTAGTCCCAAGCCTGCCTCCCAGGACTCATTTTCCCCGCGGGCCTCTCTCACTACATCAGCCATGGCGCCGGCGCCTCTAAACCCCGGGGTGGATTTTGGGAACAGACGCGCAAGCGGTGCACTGAGCATGCGCGAGCGGGCCCCGAGCTCCGTGGGTCGAGGACTCAGGTAGAGCGTCGTGGCGCCGCCAGCAACCAGCTCCTTCACTCGGGACATTTGGGTGGCTTCAGCCGCCCCTCGGACCCACCCAGTGCCTTGACCTCCTTGAGGACAGCGCGCCGGGCCCGCCGCGCCGGGCCACCGGCCGGCTGCGTCCTCACGTGCGGAGGCCGTCACAGTGACCCCGCCCCCGGGCCCGGGATGTGAGGCCCGCAGGGTGTCCCCGCACCGGGCCTAGGCGCCGGGAGTGGCCGGCTCGGCAGCGCCGGGCAATGGCCCTGCTGCCGGTGCTCCTCGCCTCCTGGGGCCTGGGGCAGTGAGGGGGCCGGCAGGCGAGGGCAAGGTGGCCGCGGGCGCCATGGAGGGGGTGCTGTACAAGTGGACCAACTATCTGAGCGGTGAGTGGGAGGCGTGCCAGGGTTCTGGTCCTTTGTCTGAGCCGCGGGAGGGTGGCGTCGGGACGCGCCTTCAGGGGGTCGGGGTCACGGTCCCTCCTGAGACCAGAGAGGCCTGCGCGGACCGGGAATGTTTCCCCACAGCAGTTCTATGTCTCCCGTGCTATACAGACACAGCCCCCTGTAGGGGCTGGGTGAGGGCCGTAGCTTTCCTCACTTCGAGGAAAGCTAAGAAATCCTGAGATGTGGGGTGACTTGAAAGGCACGATGCCCTCGGTGGCAGCGGGAGGGAGGCGCTGATTCCCGCAGTGGGGTCCTCTGGGAGTCTCGAATTCTGGCGAAGGAGCTGGTCTCAGAAGGTATCAAATAAATGCCAGCAGTAACCTGGAATCCCAGAGGTGAAAGGTCCTTTTTCAAACAAAGTCCCCAGAGCAAGCACTTTCCCTTTGTCACCTGCAGTCATCCGAGTGCAGACCAACGTATCAGAGTTACGTCTCAGTTCCAAAGTATGCACAAGGTTTTTGGTTTTCTCACTGGGCATTTCTTTTTGTTTTACAGACTCAGAAATTACCGTAAAATAGAACGCAAGCATTAGCAACTCTTTTCTTGTCCCGCTGAGCAGAATGGCTTAAAAATAGTATCCCACCCCCTTTCCAATTTGTGGAAGTACTTCATGTTTTGAGAAGGTCATAACTATTTTTCAGCTGCGAATATGATTCAGGACGAGCATTTTCATAAATGAGTATATAAATAAAAGCCTTCTGTGTTCTGGAAACTGTGCTAGGCACCTTTTTGGAAATTAAACTTTTCATTATGGAAAATGAGGTGGGCACTTAAAATTTTAATAGCAATGTATTTGAAATGAGAAACATTCCCAGTGTCTCTTAGAGTGGCAGAGATGTATTTTCCCATCCTAGGGGACCATAGGACAGTTTTTTTTAAGGTTGTAGTGTGATCCTCTGGGGGTGTTTTAAGGACATTTGTGTCTGGGAGGAGCAGTTGGCATAGTGACTGATGAGGTTCTAGAGCACAGCCAGAAGTGCACCTGTTGGGTATACCCAGAATCTCTTCCCTATGCATAGTGTGGTTGCAAATGAGTTCTGTTTATTTTTCTTGTGATCATTAGGAGAAACTGAGTGAGGAGGGGTGTCTTAGAAGACTTGCCCTTTGCTTCAAGGACCTTCATTTGATGTCAAGAGATTGTATTTGATGTGGATGCCTCATGGCTGGACTCTGGTGAATGTCAGAGGCTAAGTTCTCCTAACCTAGAGGGAGGGTGCTTGATCAAGTAATTTGCTTTTGAGGTATCTCTAAGCTCTAAGATGTATAATCTTATGCCCTTGAATGAAATTTAGTCGCTGGTCTTGGTCTTTCCCCCCTTTCCATCACACACACCTTTTAACTTGTTTTCTTTCATCCTCAACACTCTTTCTTCTTTTGTGCCATCTCCCCCGCTCCTTTTTTTTTTTTTTTTTTTTTGCCTCTTCTTTCTTCTTCTCCTCCTCCTTTATATAGAAGGTTTAGTCTCTTGGTACTGTACCTACTTCCTGGTCATGAAATATCTTTTTTTCCCCTTACTGTTTTTATGTATCCTTCAATAAAGCAAAATTTCTCTAGAAGGATCTTTTGGAATCTTTATCATGTGGTGCCTGTACCATCTGTTCTGTTGGAAAAGAGTCTACTTTTTTCTGCCCCAAGTAAGAGAAGTTAATTTTGTGAGTGATGCCATAGTGGAAGCCCTAAAGAAAAGGGGCGCTGGAGCCATTGCCAGAGATGACTGTCCTTACATCATGCTGCTTGTTCCCATGGCCCACAAGCCACCTCTCTGTGGACAAACTGTTCATAGAAGCCCGTCACACTGGGTATACTTAGAATTACGGTTCAGCACATTCTCTTTCCTTAGGAGATACATTTACTTTGGAAAGGAACGGTAATAGTCTAGGAGGAGCAAATGCATTTTTGTTTCTTCCACCCTTTTATGCAAGTTAGTCTCCCCAAAAGAGCATAGTGTGAGTGTTAATGACAAGCTTTGACGAAGACATCACTAATTTTCTTCTCCTGAAGCTTGTTTTTAAAAGTAACATCTTTTTTCTTATGGTTTTGCACATAGTAATTTAAAAATACATGTAATATCAGTCTAAGTTTTTGTTCATTTTGAATTTTTCTCCGAAGGGAGTACATGACCCGTTTGTGTAGTTTATTTCCGTCATGTCCACAGCTTGATATGGGATGCCTTATGTCCAAATTTGACTGGAGAGGTTAGGGAAACAGTTTATCAGCTGATCCTTTGAATCCTTGGTGGATGTTGTTAATTTCATTCACCAGCTACTGGTGTGCTGGGCTCTGTGCTAGGCACAGGGCAAAAACAAGACAAACACTGCTCCTGCCTTTCTTGAGCTTACAGTCTGGTGGGGGAGACAGACATTCATTGGATACACGGTTGGAAGCAAGTTCCAAGTGTGTGTGATTTGAGGGGAGAGGATGGGAGAGGCTAGTCTGTGTCGCTGGGTAAGGCTTCACTGAGGAAAAGATTTAAGCAGAGCTTGAAGGATAAACAGAAGCTGGGTAGGTGGTGAGGCCATAGCAGAAGTGCAGTTGGAGGCTATAAGGAAAAACTTTTTAGGCTCAGGGAATGTCAGTGTGAAGGCCCTAAAGCAGGAAAAAAACTGGTACGTGTAAGGAAAGGAAAGAAGACCCACGTGGCTGGAGAGCTGAGAAGAGGCTCCAACAAGACTGCAGGGATGGAGGGCAGGCCTGAAATTGCAGGACCCCATAGGCTGGTTTAAACACTGTGGAGTGATTGTGCATGCACGTGCATGTGTTTGCGTGTGTGTAAGAGAGAAATGGTGAGATTGTTTAAAAGCTCATTTTGGTTACATTTATTGTATTTTGCCAAATACTGTAGTTATTTTGTGAGCTTCTCTTGCCTCTTGAGTTAAACTGTTAGGTATCAGTTACTGAAAGTTGGAAACATCCATCAAGCCCTGAGAATAGCAGTATCTAAATTGCTTGCGTGAGTGTGCTGCTAAAATACAGAAAGAGAAAGGAAGAAAAGTCTCTTTTCCCTCATCTATTAGGCAAACTCGGGTACCCTGTGCTCCATCAGAGGAAAAGGAAAAAGAAAAAGAGCTTCTGTGTATTTTCTTCAACATGCTGAGCCATCCTGCCTTTTGTGCAGTAGAACATTGGATATTCTGGGATTTAGTGTCCAGCCCTCTCTTCACATATTAGAAGATTAAGCCCGGAATGGAAAGGGGGTGGATTAAACATTTTACAAACACCTGCATTGTATGAGACATAACACTAGGCACTGTAAGTTTGTTATTTGTAGCTTTCAAGCCCTAAAAGTTAGTCAAGGGATATTATACCTGCTTGGTTATACGTTAATGCTCTATAGTAGAACACTAGTTGAGTCAAAGAGTCCTAAAGTCTAGTGCCGGCTCTGTCACTGCCAGCTGCAGTCACTTTATCATCCTGAGCTTGAGTATCTTCCTCCATAAAAGTGATGAGATTTACCCATTAATAATTGTAAGAATAGTAAAAAAACAAAACCAAAAAAAAATACTTAACACTTCTAATGTTCTAGGCACTATTCTAAATATTTTACATGGATTAACTCATTTAATCTTTGCAGCAATTTTAGGAAGCAGTTGCCTTTATTATTCCCATTTTCCAGATGAAGACATTGAGGCACAGAAAGGTGGAGGAAGGAACTAGCCCAAGGTTACACAGTTAGTAAGTGGCTCCAGTGTCTGTTTTCCATTCATTACATAATACTTGTAAAGGTCCTTCCTGCTTGATCGTTATATAATTCTAGCTGATTCATAATGTGCCTATATTTAAAGTATGTCGACCTAGAATAGCAGACTTTATTTGGGGGTGGGAGGTGGGGAGGAATTCAGGAGTACGGAAGACTTTGCCTGGTGTTGTGCATATGTTTTGTCACAATGAAATTTTCTGAGCTGTGCTCTGAGCTTTCTACTTTCAGTTTTAGGTCCCCTTCCTGCCCACTCAGCACACAGGAGGGCTTCTGCCATGAGCTCTAGCCGGTTGCAGGCTTCTTGGGCCCTTCCAGTGCAGTAAAACACAAGCACATTGCAGCACTGCATTCCAAAAATAACAAAAGCTTGCATCATGCTCGCCAGATGGTTGTCTAAGGAGGTGCTATAATTTTGCTTACCCCCCCCAGGTGGAAGAAGGTGATGCTTGTCCATATATGTTTGTACTGTGTAAACAGTGCCAAGAGGCCATCTGGAATGTGAGTGATTCAGAGCAAGATTCTCATGGTCTCACTAGTCAACCATTTTTTTTTTTTTTTACATCTTTACTGAGATATGAATTAACCTCTCATGAATTTCACCCATTTAAATAAAATATACTAGTCAAGGGCTTCCCTGGTGGCACAGTGGTTGAGAGTCCGCCTGCCGATGCAGGGGACACGGGTTCGTGCCCCGGTCCGGGAAGGTCCCACATGCCGCGGAGCGGCTGGGCACGTGAGCCATGGCCACTGAGCCTGCGCTCCACAACGGGAGAGGCCACAACAGTGAGAGGCCCACGTACCGCAAAAAAAAAAAAACACACAAAAAAAGTTAAAGTATACTAGTCAATGGTTTTTAATATATTTACAGTGTATAACCATCACCACAATCAATTTTAAAACATTTGCATTATCCTAAAAAGAAATACCCGTTATCAACCATTCCCCCCACCCCCTCTTGCCCTTGACAACCACTAATTTGTCTGTATAAATTTGCCTATTCCAGACATTTCATATAAATGGAATCATATATTATGTGGTCTTTTGTGACTGGCTTCTTTTACCTACTGTGATGTTTTGGATTCATCAGTGTTGTAGCATGTATCAGTACTTCATTCCTTTTTATTAACAAATAATTTTCTATTGTATGTATATATCATTTTGATTGTTCATCAACTGATGAACATTTGGGTTGCTCCATTCTTTTGGTTATTATGAGTAATGGTGCTGTGAACATTTGTGTCAC